TTCCAAACTAAATGCACCATAAATCTCACAGATGAAGAACAAACCAGTCAAGATCTCAAAATTCCTAATAGGGATCACTTCGAATACTTACAGATTTTCTTCTACTCCATCGCCAACATTTCCGAATTTCTGCTTGAATGAATCCTGCCTTTTCAACCACATCATGTGTCCCTTCAGTTGAAGATCCACCGGTTAAAAAACGCAGAAGTGGATAAACAGATGATCACGCAGACAGGAATGGTGTTACCTGGAGACCGGCGGCCCATGCGATTAGCAAAGAGGCGATCCAGAACTTCTTCTCTTTCAGGAGGTCTTTTGCTTGGAATTTCCTGGTGTCCATTGCTAAATCCGAAACCCTAATTTCGAAACTTTGGGGGAAATGTCGGGTTCTAGTTTTTTTATATGGGTTAGAATTTCCAGATAAAAATAGAGGCGCTCCCCAATTTTTATCTGAAAACAGCTTAATCCAAATTTAATCCAAGTAAAAATTAAATTACGAAGCATTTTTATCCTTGGGAGTCTCACCCAAACCAAATTTATCATTTGACAACATATACTTTGCAAAGGGTAAATTTTATAAATAGTTTTCCATATTTAATCTTTAATTATACTCCTCCGTTCCAAATTCTAATGTTTGTTTTCCTTTGTAAATCTAGTTGGATCCTGCATACACTTGAAGCCAATACCCAAATGAGTAATTGGGCCTGTTTGGGAATAGCTTTAGAAATTAGCGTTAGCGTTTTCAAAAGGCTATCTACGGGCAGCGTTTAGCGTTAGCATTTTCAAATTAATCTGCACCGTTAAAATTTTATCCAAAACGCTAACGCTAATCTCTAACGTTATTCCCAAACAGGCCCAATATCATTAAAGTTCACATGTGAAATATGAATTTTCTTTGGATCCGTTTGGTATACGGAATTGACCTGGACAATCTTTAATACCCACATGGACGGCCCGGCCCAAGCCCGAATTGTATTTGGGCGGATATGGAAATTAATTTTAGCCCATCCGGGCCAATAGGCCCGCCCATATTCATTAGTACATTTAATTCATTACTACGTATTAATTATCTAGACATTATAAATTTTAAAATTTTCTTTAATTCATGTATAATAGTTCATATCACTCACCTCTGTTAAAAAAAAATTAATAGTGTTTTAATGAATCTGTATGATGGGTTTATTAATTATGTAACAATATTTTATTATGTTTTCTATGTAAATGTGGTGAGTAGTAATTTTATTTTAAACATTTGAAAAGGAGTTTAATATTTTTTTTTTGATTTTTTTTGTGTAAAAAAAATGTATTTGATGTTTTATCCGGGCCGGGCGGCCCGGTGGGCAGTTCGGCCCGCTAAAGTGGGTGGATATGGGTAAAGAGTTTAGCCCATCAAATCCGGGCCGGACCAAGCCTGCCCATTCAAATGGGCTAATAATTTGTATCAAGCCTGGCCCAGATCCGGCCCGAATCCTTATTTGCACAGGTCTAAATTAATTTCTACATCATGAATATACACCAAACATTATCCAATTTTCTTTAGTAGTGTTCACAAGTCTCATCATGGTTTCTTTAATGTTTGTTTTCCCTTTATTTAAGGAGAAGATTGGTATTCTAGACCACAAAAACTTCCATTGTCCATAACAGCAATGCTTGATCAATCAGAAAGATCTGATGAAGAAACTTGTTCCCCAGCCAGATACAGAGCAAGCTTTTCTCTTTGATTCCGAGCAGCTCTGTTGTTAATCCCGGCCAGATCTCCGTTCTGTTGCCGATAATCGGCGTCGTGGTTGCGTGAATTGAGAGCTCCGTCGATTTGAATCTCGTCGCCGTCGTCGTCTTCCAGATCGATGAGTATATTGTGGAGAAGGCAACATACGAGTACGATTCTCGGCAGCTTGTGCTTATCCGTCCTCCCCATCGTTCCTTGAATGATCTTCCAGCGGTCTTTCAGCCTCGTCAAAGCTCTCCCGGCGACTCTTCTGGTCGCGGAATGGCGCCGGTTGAACTCCGATTGGTGATCGGAGAGATCTCCGCCGCGGCGGTTGTAGGGAGTGAGGAGCCACGGCAGATGCGGGAATCCGGAGTCTCCGATTAGGTATTCTCGGATCTCCGTCCCGTCCGAGAGCTTCAGCTTCTCGCCGTTCAGCCGTTTCCCTTCCTCCGCGAGCTCGAAGAATCTCGAGATCGCTAGGGTTTGCGCGTCGCTCATGCTTCCCGGCGCCCCGGCGAAGACGTCGACGAACCGCATCGCCGGATCCACGATCGCCTGGAGGATCATGCTGTGGTTCCCCTCCGGATCGCGCCAGATCTTCTCCGCCGGATCCGCCGGCGACTGGCAGAACCCGACGTGCGTGACGTCAATCGCGCCGCAGCAGTTAGGCAGCCCGCGGACGCTCTCGAATCTGTCCTTGATCCCCTTCACGTCCTCCTCCAGAGACGGCCACCGGAGATGGTGGAGGCCTCTCTCCTCTATGGCTTCCACGAACAGCCACGTGATCTGCCCGACAGCCGACCGGGCAATCCCGAGGGAGTCTCCGAGAACGGAGAGGGATTCGCCGGAGCTCAACCGCCGCAGCGCCACCGCCACGCGGTCGTTCAGGGACAGGTGCTTCCCGCTCAGATCCGTCAGGTTCAAGTGTTTGGACATCATCTCGTCTTTAACCAGTGAGCATATGTAATTGAACGTTCTTCTGGAGAATTTGAAGACGGATTCAAAGGAGGAAGACGAAGAAAAAGCTCTGTCTTTCGAAATCCCTGGAAAAGTTTTTGTAACACAGAAGAAGGAAGAAGAAGAGATGAAGAACACAAACAACATAACAATTTTTTTTACAGATCAACTCAGCAATTAAAACTAAATTATTCAACTTCCAACAAATTTCAATTTTCATGTTTGGTTTACAAATTTCCAGATTCCAACTATCAAAATTCAGGACGTCTTTGGAAATAACGTTAGTGTTTTGAAAAGGATATTTACGGACAACGTTTTTAAAGTAATCTGCACTGTTAAAATTTTATCCAAAATGTTAACATGAATCTTCAACGTTATTTCCAAACCGACTCTGAGTTAAAATTAAGGTTAGAATTCCAGCAAAAAGAGGCAAAAATGGAAGCAAAGAATACAAATTGGGTGGATGAGTTTATAAGTGCAATTATAAACATTTAAAATGTGCATGGAGTAAAACCAGAATGGCATCTGTTTATAGAACATAGCAAGCTTTGGTTTTGTAAATATGGTGCAGATAAAAATCCTAATTTGATCAAACAATAAACCAGTCATAGATATGTTGTATGTTAGGGAGTAAAATTTTAGTGAAACGTACAAATAATGTGAGATAATACAAGCTCAAAATTCAATATTTATGATGAAAAATTGTTCACAAACTCAAAATAAAAATATTTCTAAAATACCGAAAAAAGAGAGCGATATAAAATTAGACAAGCTCAAATACCCTACAAGAACTGCAACATCTGATATAAACAAATTCGTTATGAATTCTCAGTATATACTATAGAGTACTTCGTATATATTCGTATATAATAAAAAAAAATGAATAAAAATAATTTCGATCAAATATTACTCTGGATCATTTATATTAGTAAAGATCCAAAGAACTAGGACTAGACAAAACGACCCGGATCCGAATAGATCGGGGATCAAACCAAGAAAAACAAAGATCGAATTGGTTCTAAAAACCGACCCGATCTTAAAATATCAACTTGACTCACTTAAAAAAATGATCTTTATACAAATACAACTTCCCTTTTAATATAAATTCAACACCTTATATTATTCTTTATATAAATTTAAAAATAAGACATGGAAAAAATAAAAAAAATCTTAAAATACACTCCAAAGTCCTAACTTCTACCCCGAAATAATATTTATTTTTTTTGCTGTTTTGAATAAAACTATAAATCAACGAAATATATAGAGAGATCAAAGAAATTAGATAATAAAATGTAAGATTTTAGCTGAATTCCTAAAGAGTCTTTTTAGCTCTCTATACGTAAAAAAAAGCCCACCAAGAAATCATCAAGAAAATGGTTGAATCCGTACGGCCCTCTGCCCGAAATCAAGAAACACAGGCAGCCCCTGGCGGCGGCGGCGGCGGGAGGGCCGCCGGATGTGGACCCCACGGAACACAAAATACGTAAAAGACACTCGCGCATACGGAGCGGAAACAGAAACACACACGTACCGCCGGTGCCGGCGAACAACCTCCGGGAGAAGCCGCCCCACCAATCCGAGTCGCCGCAGGGAATGCCGGGTCCACGGCGGACGGCGGGGGCAAAAAGGTCAGCATCTTCCTCGGGCACCCTCTTCCTCTTCGCACCCCTTATGGGCCCCATCGAAGCTCCGGCTCCGCAAACCCGATGGCGCCGACCTGGCGAGTCGACTCAGAGATTTCGCAAAGATCCGAACTTTACAACGACCCGACCCGTTAAAGATCTGTATTTTTTTGCCTCTTCTTTTTTCTTTTCATGCAGTGATGCGGTGTGCGGTTTCGTTTGGCAAAGAAGAAGCATAGGATATAGAGAGATTAACAATTTATGCCCCATTGAGGATATGACACATATGTTCTCATATTTTCAAAATCAAATTTTTTTTTGGTGTTTGATGAAACATAAAAAAATTAGATTTTATATATTTTGATAATATAAATTTTTTAAATAGGTGTTTTTGATATACTCTAAATTTTGGGGATATCAATACAAGAGTAAGGTTTGATATTTCTTTCAACCATCAAATTATCAATATCACTACTAGGTAGACTTGTGCAAACAAGAGTCGGTCTGTGCGGTCCGCCCTTTCAAAAGGCCGGATATAGACAATGTTTAAAACTTACATGGGCGAGCCGGCCCAAGGGCGAATTGTATTTAGATGGATTTGGAATTACTTTTAGTCCATTCGACCAACAGGTCCGTCCATATTCATCAAATAAATTTACTTTATTTTTAATTATCTAGCCAATATAAATTTTAAAATTGTTTATAATTCATGTAGAATAGTTTAATTCGCTCACCTCTCTTAAACAAAAATTAATAATTTTTTAATGAATCAGTATAATGGATTTATTAATTATGCAAGAATACCTTTATTATGCTTTCTATGTGATTGTGGTGACAGTAGATTTTATTTTAAACATTGAAAAAAGATTTTAATGTTTTTTTTAATTTGTTGTGCAAAAAAATTTTATTGATATTTATCCAGTTCAGGCGGCCTGGTGGGCAGTTCGGGCTGCTAAGGTGAGCCTAACCCGCTCATGTAAATGAGCTAACAATTTGTATCAAGTCCGGCCTAAATTCAGCTAGGATCCTTATTTGCACAAGTCTACTATCAACTACTTTTGTTGTCCCCGCCTATTACTTATTAAATATTGATTTCAAGTCTCTCCAAACAAGTTATTTTAAAATTTCAAACGCATATAATTTCTTTTAAAAAAAACTTATCAAACTTGGAAAACTCACCAAACACGTCCTTATACTATTTAATAATATTTCATCATCATTAGTTAGGGCCTGTTGATTTAGGTTAAAAAAATTCACTTCTAACTTTTTTTTTAGTGATTTCCTGTTTCTTTTAATTTTTTCAAATTTCTTCTAACTTCCTAAAATTTCTTCCAACAATTACTATAAAAAAAGTATTTTCTTATGATGAATATACAATAATTTTTCCAGTATTCTCTTACTACTAGTTATTTCTAATGTTTTCCAGTGTCTTCCAACATTTTCTTGTTTTTTCCATCAACTCTATTTTTACAACCCGAAGGAACATATTCTTAAAAGACCAAGCCAAAGACCTTGTCGTTTAATGCCACCAGGCTGACTCTCGTAATGAGAGATTCAAGCTTCAATCCTCCTGTAGACGCAATAACTCTTTAATTGAGAAAAAGTATGTATGGTCATACTCCCTCCGTCTTAAGAATATTGTTACAATTTGATTTTTTTGTCAAAGTGTGACAACTTTTTACCACAAATTACATATAGTTTAAAAGAATTAAATATTATAAAAATCTAATATTTTAAAATAAATTCAATTTTACTAAATTTACATGAGTTTGGAATTGATAGTAGTGCCAGAAATGAATTGGAATTGGAGAATTTAATTCCATCCAAATCAATTTCATAAAATTTCAACTTGCAATTCAAATTTAATTCCGTCAATTTTGTGTATCATACGAACCCTAAATTAAGTTGATCGAAACTTAATTTTTATTTTAAACAAAAAGTATTGAATTTAAATTGAACAAGTATGTAACTCAAACTACTGAGAAATGTCGTGCCACCAGCAAAAGTAATACAAACGTCACAAATTTGTTATTTATGAAATTTCTTTAAAAAAGCAATTGGTTTCAAATACTTTAAAAGTGGAAATTCAAATTCAAAATTGGAAAACTTGTGTCATTTTTGTTCGTGATTTTGGCACTTCTCAGAATGAATTGAAAGTTTATTATTATAAAATGATCGCTTAATATTTATACTCGGAAATCAATTAACAATGAGAAAAGGTAATTCACATTCATTAATCCTACTCGGGTCTAACTTGGATCTTTTTGTCTCTATTTTTCATTTTCCTCCAATAAAACTATAGAAGTGAATTTCTATTTTTTTTGAGCTCCTAAAATATTGTCTTTAGTAGGCAATTGATATTTGCACTCCAAATATGTTAATGGCACTCCACATTTTTCCATCTATTTTCAATTTGACACTTGTGCCCTTGTCATTTGTTTTTTCTCGCTCTAGTATTAGTGTTATATATTGGACAATAGGCACTAGCTCAATAATTTAAGAAAACATAATGTTGCATTTCTAATTGAAGTATAGGCATCAGCTTCTATGTGCTAGATTATAACAATATTTTTTAGGGCTTACAACCACAAGTTTGAACTTTGATTTGATCAGATCTCTAACATGATATCATAAAAGAAATCATGCTAAATATGAGAAAAACATAGAAAAGTATCTAAATAAGTTTTTATCTTTAAAATAGAAGTTACAGTATATGAATATTTCACATTACTTTCGGTATTATATATTGACATAATATATGTATTTTAACTCCTATTTTTAGAATAAAAACATAAAACTCCTATTTTGTTATATTTTATATGTTACTCTTACCTTTGTCATTTTCATATATCATAGTGATGGGCCAATATCCAACGGGCGGCCCAAATGAATCATCCAAACAATTTGGGTCAGGCACTTGGAGGACATCAAGGCTTGGGCCGATCCATAGGGCTAAGCCCGGTCACCTCCGGTCTGGGAACAGCTGGCAGAGTCAATCCGGAAGAGGAGACGGAACCGAATGGCGGAGACGAAGCCGGAAAAAGGGGATCGCGCCATTGACGGGATAGACTCCATTGATTATGCATTACCTTAATTGTCTAAGGCTCATGTATAAATAGAGGAGACCCGAAAGGGGAGAGAAAAAAAAGATCAAGCTAATAATACATACTCAATTCTCGGATTCTCGTTCTTAATTAGGTTCTTACGATCCGCTTTCTGAATCGGATCATTTGGTGAATTTATTATCCATCACATAGTCTTAACACTTAGATATGTCGATTATTCTTGAAAGACAAATAGAACAACACAACAAATATATATTGCAACTAGCATCCTAGTACTACCTATTTACTACTCTGTATTTCAGGAGTTAAACGCTGTCTACTTAGCTTACTTATTTTTACTATTATTTTAATATATAAAATTGTCATGTCACATCTTGTTTTTAAGCTTTTCATTGTTTTTTGAAAAACATAGTTTATTTTTAAATTGGGGTTAATTATGTTTTTGGTCCTTGTAAAATTAGAGAATTTTGTTTTTGGTCCCTCCAAAATATTTTTTTATTAATTCGTCCCTATAAAATAATTATTTTTGCAAAAATTGTCCTCCCCTAAGTTAAATATTTTTTTGATCCTTGTAAAATTTATAAATTGTATTTTTAGTCCCTTTAAAACTCTTTCTGTTCATTCAGTTCTATTTTTATATTATTCAATAATCATTCACGATTATCTTATTCTTTTTATTAAGTATTTATTTAATTAAAAGATCAAATTCAATGAAATATTTTTAAATACTTAATTGAATAACTACATTTTAAATTTAAAAAGTTGCTAACTTAATACTTTAGTTTTTAGGAAAAAAACTTTTGATAAATTAACACAAAATTTATTTTTATGGTAATTTTTGGTATAATTTGTCAAATTCATGATCTTTTAGCAAAATTCTTACCCTCACCATCTCAAGTGATTTTTTTCAATTTTTTAGGGTGACTATTTATGCAATGATAGTAAATAAATTTATTAAAAATGGCCTCGTTATTAATTTAGTTAAGAGTTTTTCTTTAAAAAAATTACTTTAAAAAATTTTAAATAAATATTCAATAGCATAGTTATTCGATTAAGCTATGAAAAATATTTCAATAACTTTGACACTTTAATTAAGTTTATCTTGATAAAAAGTAATAAGTTAATATTGTACAAAGTATCACGAAGTAAATAATTTAAAAAAGAAGAAGAATGTACAAAAAACTTTAGAGGAACTTAAAACAAAATTTATAACTTTTTCAAGGATCAAAATATACATTTAAATTAGTGGAGGACTAATTGCGAAAATAATGAGTTTATAGGGACGATTTAATTTAAAATAATTTGGAGGGACCAAAAGTAAAAATATACCAATTTTACCAGGACCAAAAATATAATTAATATTTTTAAATTTTACACTTACAATCAAATAAGTTGAATTGCAAGTATAGTCAATCAACCATCATAATATGTAATGGGTAATTCAAATTGAGATGGAGGGGGTATTTTCTTCCACTCTGATTGGTCATCCAAATGATTTGAACAAGCATTATATATATTCATCTTTAAAAATTTAAAGAATTAAAAAAATATAAGAAAAAGATAAAAAAAATTGCAAAGTAAAGATGAAAGGATTGTGAAGCACTACAAAGTACTACGGAGTAGTTTTTTTTTTTTGTTGATTTCAAAAAGCACTAGTATTAGAGAGCCAAAATAAATAAATGAAAAGGGTATTGGTGTCAATTTAAAAAGAGATGGAAAAGTGTGGAGTGCCATTAACATATTTGGAGTGTAGATATCAATTGCCTCTTTAATACCATGTAGAATTATGAAATTACATTGTAAAATTCCTTAAACAAGTTTCTCTTTAAAAAAAATATCCATCAGAACATTAATGAAGGCAATGGCATGTTTTAGAAATATGGAAAAAAAAACAAAAACAAAAACAAAAAAAAAACAAAAATTATCAAATCTCATACAAAGATCAGCTCCCAAGTTGATTTCCTTGCCCTATTTCACAGCTTGTTTCTTGGAACAAGCTGAAGAAAGGTGCCCACGCTCTCCACATTCATAGCATCTCCGCCCCCGTATTTTTGCACTAACCACCATTTCCTCCGCCGCACCGCTAGGCGGAGCATCGGCCGGATTGCTTTCCCACGCCTCGTTCTGTCGTGGGCCCTCCTCGAAACGTTTCGGGCCCGCGGCTTCTGCACCGTCGAAACGATTCGCTCGAGTGTCCGGTGCAGATTGTTTCTTGGGACAAGCGGAAGAAACGTGCCCGCGTTCTCCGCACTCGTAGCACGTCCGCCTCCGTATCTTCGCACTAACCGCACCACTTGTCTCCACCGCGTCACTAGGCAGAGCATCGGCCGGATCGCTTTCCCACGCCTCGTTTTGTCGTGGGCCCGCCTCGAAATGTTGCGGGCCCGCGGCTTTTGCATCGTCGAAAGTATTTGCTTGAGTGTCCGTTGCAGACTTTTTCTTGGGACACGCGAAAGAAACGTGCCCGCGTTCTCCGCACTCGTAGCACGTCCGCCTCCGTATCTTCGCACCATCCACCGGTCCACTCGATCCCGGGACGTCGTTTTGTCGTGGGCCCACCTCAAAATGTTGCGGGCCCGCGGCTTTTGCATCGTCGAAACTCTTCGCTTGAGTGTCCGTTGTAGATTGTTTCTTGGGACAAGCGGAAGAAACGTGCTCGCGTTCCCCGCACTCGTAGCACGTCCGCCTCCGTATCTTCGCACTATCCCCCGGGATGTCATTTTGTTGCGGGCCCGCCATTTGGTTTTGTGGCGGGAACGGCTCGTTACGCTCTTGCGTGGCTTTCGTCTTGTCGCCATCGGCGCCCTTCTTCGGGACGGCGCGGCTTATCCTAACGGGCCGGCCGCAGACGATTTTCTGATCCAACTTCAACGCGGCATCTAGCGAGAGACTATCGGCGAAATCAACATGGGCATAGCCTTTGAATTCCCCTGTTTCCTTATCTTCCCCAAACCGGATGGACGTTATTTGGCAACCGGAGAAGAGGTTCCTCAAGTCGTCCTCGGTTATCTCCCAAGACAAATTCCCCATGTAAACCCTATTGTACCCCTCTATGGCTTCGGGGGAGAAATTTGCGACTTTGGTTTTGGGTCTATAGGAGTTGTATGGCTGGACTTTCAAGAACAGCCCGCCCCTGCAAAGAGGATAGACGGTCACATTGATGATTCAAGAGAGTAGTGAGGCGAAGGGTAAGTAATGATTCAGACCGTATGTAGCTTACATGTCAGATCCATCAAGGGCCAAAGCTCTTTTCGCAGCCGCTTCAGTCTGAAAAATACAAGTTTAGTCATTAGATAAAACAACACAAAAACAGTCCAGTATAAATGTATAATTCCAACATATTTTCTAGTCTGAACTCTGAAGGTCAAGGGGTATGAAAGTTTAGTCAATAGATACAACAACAAATCTACCCTCTTTGTCCCAAAATTATTGTCCTGTTTACTATTCTAGACATCCAAAAACTTTTGTTTGTCTGCGAGTTTTCATTGATCATTTGATAAAATAAAACAATCACCCACTGTTCTGTAGAACTTTTGGCATACTTTTTAAATATGTAAGATGTACTTTTCATTTGTATACCAATTTGCAAATAAAATTGTTTTAAATTAGATGAGATATTGCAAAGTGTTTGAAACATGACGATAATGTCGGGACAAAGGGAGTAGTAAAATCCTAGTGTATTACTCTGTAAGTTACTCCTACAAGGTTAGTCAATAGATAAAACAAACATAGTAAAATATCCTAGAAATGTAGGGTCTGGGGAATGTTTAATCAATAGATGTTCCCGTGTTTGACAATATTATTTATAACTATTCTATCTTCCCACTTTTTTTACGTCCGTCCCTAAACTATCACAAGCTTCGTGTTAATGGAAGCAAATAAGTGGTTCGTATTATTTCTCTCTTCTAGAGAAAACGTGGACCACATCGTTTTGATTTTCTTAAATAGCATGCACGGTCAAAGTGGCAATAATATGAGAATAGGGGGAAGTACTTTTGTCTGGAAAAGGTAAGAAAAGTTCATCCTCTAAGAAATGGTCTTCACTGTTTAGTTGTCTTTTGCATTTTTTGAACCCACACCCTTTCAGACAAGAACCTTAAAGTCTTGTTTTGTTGGCAAATATAGAAGGCAGTGGAGGATTTGATTTATCTTTTACTCCCTCCGTCCCACAAAAGTGGGCTAGTTTCATCAAGGTACAACTTTTAAATTTTGAGTGAGCCTTCACAAAACATTAAAATCAGCTTGTTTTCACCAAATAAGGACTCTTTCTTTTCACAAAATATAACTACAACCAAATCAGATCAGAACTTATTCAGCTAAAGAGAACATGGCCTAAGTAGGGTCAGGGGAGGGTGTGTACACAGGCATTACCCCTATTCGGAAGTAAAGAGATTGTTTCCAAGAGATTCCCAACTCAAATAGAGAAGCACGTGCAAAGCAAACAGTGTAACACAAAGTAAGAGCATATAGACAAGTGCTTCACAAGCTTATATAGACACTGAGATAGAAATAAATGTTGAAGTTTTTGTAATTGAACCTTCAATCTGAAATCCATATATTGTAACCGTGATACCAAAAACAAAAACAAAACGAACCTTAAAGGTGATGATGGCAATGCCTCTAAACTTTCCAGTGTCTGGGAAGATCATACAATCAACTTCAGTAATGGTTCCACAGCCTTCAAAGTAACTCCTAATATCATCCTCGCTGGAGTAATACGGTATGCCTCCAACATAAACTTTTGTAGACACATCAGCATTTTCTTTACTGGAACAACAATATGAATCAATTATCATACAGCTCAAGAAAGGTAAATGGATTGAAGAATAAGAAGAATTCATCAAACTTCATGGAACAGTAATAATGGATGAATCCACATAAATTGAAATCAAAATTCCAGCAGGTTACGGTAAAATTCATGTCAACCAATTAAGTCATTCAAAACCTAAACCTAGTTATTGTTTGCTTATAAATCTAATAAGCATAATAAGCTGACTATGTGCCCATTTGAAAACAGTTTCAGCGTGTTGAAAAAAAACAATATAATGGCAATGTTCAGCTTTAACACTTATTGAAAATGGTGTTCCCAAACAAGGCATATAGCTAGAAGATGTAGTGATGTACTAAGTTCATATACCATCCTAAAATCAAACAACAAACTCAATGCAAAGATATATTTTGTGGTCCATTTCAGCATAATATACCTCTCAATAACCGGCATTGCCGGTGCAGCTACTACCTCTTCAACAACCTTCACATCCCCTTTCACTCCATCACTTGCTGCCTCGTTCTCCACATCACTCTTCTTCTTCTTCTTCATCTTCTTCTTCTTTTTCTTCTGCTTCTTAGGTGTTCTAGCTACTGCCTTCTTCACTTCCACCTTACCTTCTAATCCCTCCTCATCACCTCTCTTCCTTTTTTTCTCACCCAAAATCTCTGACCCATCACTTCCCTCTGCATTACTAACAGAAATTTCTTGCAAAGATTTTGCCTTTTCCCTTCTTTGTTCCCTTTTCAACCGCTTAAGCGCTTTGGCCGCAGATAACGGAATGACCTCATGCCGTTCTTCTCCTGAAATCTGTTTCTGTAACGACGAATCGGCCATCTCCAATCCATCCCCCTCCTTACCCTTTTTCTCACCCAAAATCTCTGACCCATCACCTCCCTCCGCATTACTAGCAGAAGTTTCTTGCAAAGATTTCGCCTTCCCCCTTCTTTGTTCCCTTTTCAACCGCTTAAGCGCTTTGGCCGCAGATAACGGCTGTTCTTCTCCTGAAATCTGTTTCTGTAACGACGAATCGGCCATCTCTAACCCATCCCCCTTCTTCCTCTTTTTCTCACCCCTCTTCTCAGACAATTCTTCGTCTTCCTCATCTCTAACCTGTTTCCTGCGTTTTTTCGACGATTTGAGCTTTTGGGTCACGGATTCGAGAACTGTTTTGAGCTGTTCTTCATATTTGGAATCTGGGGCTTCTCCTAAAATTTTCCGTCCGACCAGCAATTTAGCCTTTGTCGCCCTTAGCTTCTCCTTCAGCTTCTTGTTCGATAAAACCATTATTCAGTAATTAGGGTTTTTCTCCCCCTCTTTGCCGGGAGGGGTTGGTTCATAACGAGAGCAAAGAACCCCTACCAAAACCCATACGGCAGTTAACGACGACGTATATTGCTAAAAATTACTCCGTCCGTCCCGTTTTAAATTGTCCTCCCGTTTTAAATTGCCCGTATTGACTTTTGGGCATATTTAAGAAAAATAAAAAATAGAGTTGATTTTTCGAAATTGTCATTACTTTTTAGAAGGGATTATGATGAATGAGAAGATAATGTGGAGAAGAGTGACTTATTTTAGAGGTAGTTTAGGTATTTTACTCTTAAAAGTTTACGAAAACAACTAACAGACAACTTATTCTGGGACGGAGAAAAAAGGCAAACAGGCAATTTAAAATGGAACGGAGGTAGTAAAATTTAATTTAGTTTAAAGTTATTAATTGTTAAAAAAGTAAGCCAAAAATGGTGTTATTTAATATTCTTTTCACCTTGTATGATTGTGAGATTTCCCTAAATAAATTGGTAGGACATATTTCATTAATCTGTCTCAAAACAAATTTCACACTTTTCTTTCTCAATCATTTTAAAATAAATTTGAATTTTAAACTCTCACATTGCATATTAAAAAATACAGAGTTTACCATATATTTTAATTTGAAAAACATTCTATAAGCACATTCAAACTAACTAATTACAAAAAAGTTACAAGTAAACGAGAAACAAGTTGTGACGCGATCTCTTTTTGGATAGAAAAATCTAAAATTATGGGTCTTAAAAATCAAGAAATTATTATGCACGATCTCTTGAACCTTATTCAGAAATTACACATTCTTTGGGACTAAGGAACCAAATGTATCAAAAGGAATCGAAATAAATGCATGTTGATTTTGTAAAGAAGCTTTCTTGTGTATATGGTTCACAATCTTTATATTACCTCCTAAGAAATTAAAATCATTTATTTTATACTTTTAACCTTTTTCTTATTTTTTGTAAAAGTTAAACAAACCATTAAGTTTGTGTATATACACAGCTTGTGATTGTGATCTAGAAAAGATTTTTTATATATAAACTCTAACATGCTTCTCGCGTGGAGGCGTAATTTTTTTTAGCCTTGCATGTGAAACTTTAATTTTTTTTTAAAAAAAAAAAGAAGTGACGGTGTATTGAACTCATGCCCTCTTGGTCGAGAAGGCTTAGTTCATTTAGTGTTGGAACTTGGAAGGAGTAGATTTGCAACAAGACACAAGGTCGAGTCTCCTGGAGCGTGCATTGTGAGAGTGATATTTTGAGGCCAATTTGGACTACAGAAATGGGCTCCATGCATGCTTGTGGGGCAAAGTTCTCCCCCTTTAACGAGCTATTGGGTTCTAATTTACCCCCAGTATATACTTGTCGGGCCAACATAACCCAAAGATTAATATTTACATTTTGTTAGTTTACACTTTACACTGATAAAGAATATCAATACAATCACAAAATTTCACTCAATTTTTTTTGTAAAATGTAAGCCATTAATCTCAAACTTACATTGACACATTAATCTCGCACTTACATTTGACACACAATGTAAGTGTTAACCTTTGGGACACCTTCTAGGCATGACTTTGAAAATATCATCAGTGATTTTTCCTGCTTTTGATTGGTGTTCAATTTTCCTCTTTTTTTCAAAAAAGTGTAGAATCAGTCTTTTCTTATCTCATTACATTGAGCGGAAAAATTACCCTGATAATAATTTTTTCAAGAACAATTTCCAGAAATTTACTACACCAAATGTGAAAAGATGTAAAAGATTGACACTATTTGGAATGTCTCAGCTGCATAGCAGACCATAGCAGGCATTGATAAACATCTAGTCCAACAACATCGAGAGAATCTCTGAACATTAGTAATTCAAAACTAGCCATGACAAGCAATAACAAAAGTGTAAACAAAATGTCTGAACAAAAAAAAACATGACATTCAGCTTAAAGGATCCCAATCTTGTTTGCCACATCCAGTGCATCAAAGTCAGGGGTGAGCCGAACATACGCCTTCTTGGTTCCATCCGGCCTATGTTGAAGACAAACAAAAGGAAGAGGTAATCATATCAATGCACAAGATGGGTATAATCATTACACATTACAGTTATGAACATGTTTCTTGGGGATCTATTTTGGAAGATGTTTCTAATGGAAAGTGGTCTATTGGGGGTGGGGGTCTTGGATGCACAAGTAGTAAACATAAGTTAAAACATTTTACTCTATTAATGTTAAATCACATATAATATCCTCTTATCAAGAAAAAACCTTCAAAGTCAAAGCTATTCAGAAGAGACATGATTGCTAGAGTTTTATACTCACTCCGTCCCATTAGAATTTTATATACATTGATACGGATATTGGGAAATTAGAAGATGTGGTTCAAGAGACAAACAAATTAAGGCGAGGATATGCAATATTTACCTGATTAGAGTGTTCACTTTCTTGGTCTGGATGCCATACATCTTGCTTACGGCATCCTTAATCTTCTTCTTATCAGCTCGGATATCAACAATGAAAACCAATGTGTTGTTATCCTCAATCTTCTTCATTGCCGACTCGGTGGTCAACGGAAACTTGAGAATTTGGTAGTGGTCCAACTTGTTCCTTCCCGGAGCACTAATGCGAGGGTATTTTGGGTTCCTATCCAATTTCAATGTCTTCGGCCTATGGAAAGTGACCTTCGTGCGGATGTTCTTAGCCTTCTTCTTAAAGACAGTTCCTTTCACAGCCTTGGCCACCTTTTCGGCCTGAGCCTTGGAATCAACTTTCTTGGTAGCTTTATCTGTAGTAAGAACACTCTAAGAGATTACATATCCATAAAGAAATACAATGGTGATCATCATACCCCAGAACCAATGTCAACTTACACAAAACATCTTTATACAATGTCTAGCAAATACTTAACGAAAAGGTATATTAATAAAGCAGCCAAATCTCTAGCTTGTACAATTTTTCATAGATGAAAAAACATAAGTGATAATTTCAAGCATAACCATGCAATTAGTCAATGTAACTCAAGGGTCTATTTTGATTTTGGAGTAAAATACTCACACAAATCTGGGAAGAAATCATCATAAAATTATTAGATCAAGTTCTATATTTTGACATCAAGCACTTTGAGATGAAAAATTGAAACATCACTTCAAAAATAAAACCCCAAACATCCATACAAACACAGCAATACAGAGATTTCAGTTGACTGAAGCCGGTCAAAGTTCTGAAAGCCATTAATTCAAAATCATTTCTAAAGCAGCCAAACACTGAATAAGATAGCAGATGAATCAATTCAACTCAACAAACACGAAACTCGTCAGGATTAATCAGAAAAAGACGTTCTGAAGGCCATCGATTCAAAGCTTAAACGTCCGAATAAAAATGAAGGGTGCTAAGAACGCATATGAGTAATTTCTACTCAATATTTCTCAGAAGAAGACACAGTAGAACAAGTTCATTCGAACTACATACCTTTGGGAGCCATTGGTGCGGCGTATCACGAACAAAACCCTACCTAATCGAATAAGAAATGCGAGCAAATCGGGGGTCAGCAGACAATACAAACGATGAAGAAACGCGCATATCTAGAAATGCATGAATTTATATAGAGCAGATCGATGCAAATAGACTATGAGTTAGAGATAAAAGGTGAATCGCAGAGCGGAAGATTGAGCTCACCTTGAAGGAGACGAAGAAGCGGCGACGGGGGTATTAGCAGCGGCGAGTATGATTTTGTATCCCTAATATAGAAGCGCTAGGGTTATGTTCTTGGACCGTGAAAAGATTTTACTCCTCGTAATGGAATTAGAATAAATTGAAATAAATATTTGTATTTTTCATATTTTAAAATATGAGAAGAAGGATGAATTAGTGTAATTTATGTTTCATTTATTTAATTTTAATTCCATTTTTTATTTTTCTATGTGTCACAATTTTTAGTGTCAAATCAATTTTAGTAGAGAGTAATATTTATGTGACTTACAATTATATTTACTTTTATCTTACTTTCTTAATACTCTGTATCAAATTTATCAACTTTATTTTTATTTCTGGATTTGTATGTCACTAATGCATATTTCATTTGGACAAATTAAAAGAAAGCTTAACAAAAATAGTCTAACATGTGTTCAATCAAGCAAAATTGTCACGCATTTTATTTATTTTACACCCGTAAAAAAACAAAATTTATGTTATTTCTAATAACATTAACTCAGGGACCAACGTTGTTAATTTTTTGTTAGAAATTACACATTTATATTTTCCTATTATGCGCATAAAAATGATTTAAATAAGGAAAAATAAATAAACTACGACCATATTATTATAAAAAGAATCACCCAATTAATGGTGTAAAAAACAAATTTGAATTAATATTAGCAATAGCATTAATAATAATAATCATGAAAATAAAGCAAACATAATAATCAATATAATGGCAACAACAACAATAATGATAATTGAAATAAGAATAATATGAAAAATGCGTGTACATATTTTCTTTAAGTTATTGCTAGGAAGAGTAAAAAAAAACTCAAAGACGTTGAAAAGATAGAATGAGTTAGAAAATATAGAATGCATGCATGTTTCTTAGTTTTCATAGGCCGGGGCATATGATTTTCTTTTATTTTACTTCTGGATGAATTTTCAATGAAATAAAAATAAATAAACTTAGAATGATTTGGAGGGGTATTTACAGACCAAAAGTAGAGAAATAATTTACATACTCAAAATACATCAACGGCTAATGGAGGGACCAACAAACCAGACCGTCCCCCGCTGGGTATCCATTAAGAATAATGATTGATGAATTAATGCAAAACACACTTCAATCCTATCAATCTTTGAAAAAGGACTTGTATTACTTGTAAAAAAAATTTCTTGATTTTTTGTATTTTGTTGCAGAATCGCATTAGAATTTACAAGAGAGAGGTTCCCATGATATTTGATTTTCATGTCATAAGATGATCCGAGGCTGCTACGGCGCCCCATTCATAAAATTGACTTTTGATCCTTACCCTGCCCCAAAAACTGGATATTTTTTCTTATAAAATGGTGTTTTTTAAAAAAAACTCTTTGAAGTAATAAAAAAACATCCACACCCATGAGACTGCAAATAATTGTGAGTACTTCAGAAATAGTAGAGAGAAAGTAATTACTGTGACAAAAAGAAAAATGTCAAAGTAATTTTCATGTGAGAAAAGAAAATCAATTACTAAACAAACATAGAAGACTAGTATCTTCTTCTGGGACTTCTTGAACGATGAACTCGAGGTGATCTGCATAACACAAATAAATTATCCAATTAGAAGAGTCATTAGTGTTATGCGATGCGAATGCATCTACACAGTTTTCGGAGATATGCCAAAGAAACAAATTGATATGTGAACAAATGACTCCCACTTCACCATTCATACCAATGTCTTGAATTACTTTTTTGTTTCACTTAATAGTTTTGTTCGACGTTGCACACGGGCTTCTGTTTTTTCAAATTTCACCTTTGCTCAGTACCTCTATATGTGTCCTTCGGACCAAGATTCTGAGGATCTGTTTGGTACACGGTATTGGAATTGAAGTCCCCAATTCTAATTTCATGGCTTGAATTCCATGTACCATTCGGAGCCTTAATTTCTGTATGTGTTTCTTTCTTTGGTCAGTGCTCTAATTTTGTTTGTGTACTATCATTTGTCATTCTCCCCCGTGTTTCGAGCCAGTGTCTCTTAGAAACAGTCTTCTACTATATGATAGGTGTAGGGTTTGCTGTTTTCATACACACGTCTCCCACGACCCCACATGGTAGAATTTTATTGGGTTTGGTGTTTATACCTCCAGCCTTTTCCTAGGGGTAAGGTTTGAGTATACACACACCTTTCACGGCCCCATTTCATGGGATTTTACTAAGTTTGTTGTTTTCGAACACTTGAACTTTGTCCAATACATCTAGGTCTTGAACAATAACAAATTTTCTGAAAAGCAGAAAACTGATCGTGTTTTATGCCAAAAAAACAAAGCTAACAAAACTGATATCACTATTCCTTGCACAGTTGCACATTTAGAAATCATGATATTATTGTAAGTGAATTACAGAGCATTTCATAACCTACCTCCGTGAGTTCCTCCTCTTGAACGAGCCTCTGCTAAATGCCCAATCAACATGAATGATTTGAGTGAGAATCTCAGTTCCATCTAGCTCACTGATTGCCTTCTTTGCTTCTTCAAAGTTTTCAAATTCAACCAGAGCATAGCCCTACAGGAAAACATTAGCAGCCTACTCAATAGCACAACAGAAGGAAAAATTAAATGCGCAATTACACGCATCTTATGTACGATGCTTTAGACCAGACACAAAACAAACTCAGTGGTAAGCACAAAAATTTTCAGGACTTTGCCATCCTTCTAATTTAAGGCTAACACCGATGCTACAAATCACCTTGACAAATCCAGTGCGACGGTTCAGATTCAGATGCAAGTTCTTTATGTCTCCAAATTCACCAAAAGCATTAAGTATATCATCCTCTTGAGCCTCTTCATGAACCCCAGTTACCAAAATAATCCATCCTTCAATCGCTGCAAGAATCTAGCACTGTCAGACCCTTGATGTAAAACAATATATTACCACTGCCCAACCGTGAAATTTACACTTTGACTTGGCTGAGTTTAAGGAAAGTGTTGTGAAAGAAAAAAGTGTGATTGGAATTTAATCGTGAAAGAAAGAAATGTTATGAGCCAAAAATTCCTTTCCTAAGAAGGAAATAAGAGAAAGTGAAAATAATATATTGAGACGAACAACAAAAGAAAATGTAAAGTTCATTGCGGGACACAAGGAATAATTCTTCTAAAAGTTGTAAGAAGTCAAATTAGGGCCTCTCTCTCTCTCTAGCTATGGCGAGAAAGAGGGGAAGACCGAAGAAGAGAAGGACGAGCAGCAATGGGAATGGAGTACAAACACCCGAATCAACGCAAGGAAATGAATCGAATCACACTGAGACATCGGATGGAAAGGATACGCCAGGATCAGAGAAGGATGGGAAATGCGACCAAAACCCTAGGGTGGAGGAAGCTGAAAACCCCATCACCCCGATCCCCAATCAGAGGACATATGCGAGTGTAGTGGGGAATCATGATATCGAGTTGGATCTGAAGTATATTCCGGCTATTGAGGTAAATGGAAATATGGTGGCAAAATTAACAAAAGATGATATTATAGATACTGTGTCATACTGGGATGCTACTCTGGTGTGCTGCGTTCTAGGTGCAAATCCACCATTAGAGGTGATGAAGGGATTCATCAATAGGATATGGAAAGAATATCCTATTGAAGAAATATCTTTCCTCAAAGAGAGCCAATATATTGTTTCATTCAAAAATGTTGTGGACAGAGATACCATTATTCAGAGGAGATACTATTTCTTTGATAATAAACCTGTATTGGTCCAGAAGTGGTATCCAGGAATAAAACTGGACTTGGATCATCTGGATGATATCCCAATATGGATACAACTACCTGACCTAGATATGAAATACTGGAGCTTATCTGGTCTTAGCAAGATAGGGAGTCTCGTAGGGAAGCCAATAAAGCGTGACAGACCTACTGCAAAGAAGACCAAATATTCTTATGCCAGGATACAAGTGGAGGTCAAGATAAGACAAGAGTTTCCAATGATGATTAATTTTATTGATGATGAGGAAAGGGTGATAAGGCAACAAATATCCTATGAATGGTATCCATGTACGTGTGCTCACTGTGGAAAATTGGGACACCTACAAGAAACATGTAGGAGAAAAGAAGAGAAACCCAACAATGCCAGAAGGAAATTGGTCTGGAAGCCAAAAAATACTGAAAGGAATAAAGAGGATGCAAGTCCTGCAAAGGAAGGGGGAATCAATAAGGAAGAAAGAAGGGTGAGTTTAGAAAAACCAAAAACAAATGAAGAAGAATTCATAGAGATATCAGGAAGAAAGGCAGGGAAACAGAAATTCCTGGAAAAATCTGGAGAGTCTGAGATTGAAGTATTAATGAAGTTATGTGAGAAAGCCCCCTATAGTGGGCATTATCCCTTCTTAACATGATTGGGTGTTGGAATATTAGGGGTCTCAACAGCCCCTTAAAACAGGAAGAAGTCAAAAGAATTGTAGGAAAATATGAAATTGGGTGGTTTGGAATTCTTGAAACCAAAATTAAGGAAAATAATCTAAGGGAGATAGAGAAGAAGATGTTTCATGGTTGGGGCTCTTTTCTTAACACAGAAACTCATCCTCTGGGCAGAATATGGGTGATTTGGGACAAGAGTAAATATGAGGTGGAAATTCTTGAGTGGAGTGACCAAATGGTGCACTGCCAAGGAAGGATGATTGGGGACAGTAATTGGTTCTATGTTACTTTTATTTATGGACATAATAATGCCCATGACAGGAAGAAATTATGGTCACAGCTTGAGGCCTTGGCTGGAAATATCAGGACTGGATGGGGAATTATTGGCGACTTTAATTCTGTGCTCAGGATGGAAGACAGAGTAGGGGGTAATAATGTCACTGAAGAAGAAACCAGGGATTTCAAAGAATGTATGTTGGCTTGTGGGATGGAAGAAATTCCTTGGGAAGGAAGTTTCTATACATGGAATAATAAACAAGGACCTAGAAACAGAATCTATTCTAGGCTAGATAGAACTCTTTCAAATATGGAGTGGATGTTACAGTTTAATGCTAAAGTCCAGATCATTGAAGAGGGGGTATCAGATCACTGCCTACTCCTTGTTAGAACATATGAGATGGATAGAAGGAAAACTGGTTTCAAGTACTGTGATATGTGGGAGCTTGATCCTGGGTTTATAAACACCCTCAAGGATGTGTGGGGGAAGGAAATACCAGGTAGATACATGTACCAGATATTGAGGAAAATGAAGGAGTTGAAATATCCTCTCAAGCAACTCAACAGAAAATTTCATCATATCCACCATCAATATGAGAATATCAGAGAGGAGCTGAATGAGATTCAAAGAAAACTCAAGATGGATCATAACAATCCAGATCTTATTAATAAAGAGAAGGAGTGTTTGAAGGAGCTGATTTTCAGACATAAAGCATCCTCTATGATGAAGGCCCAGCAATCCAAACAAAACTGGATAAATGAAGGTGACCAAAACTCCAGACTGTTTTTTGCCTGGGTAAAAAAGAGGGTCATCCATAATCAGATCTATTCTATTACTAATGATAAGGGAGAAAAGGTGGAAGGAAGAAGCAAGGTGGCTGAAGTAATGGTGAACCACTTTCAAAAGCTATTGGGGGATAGATCATGGACAGATCCCATATGTGAAGAGATTATGAAGACAGGCCCTAGTTTGTCAATGGAACAGCAACTCCAGCTACTAGAGCCAGTGACCCAAGAACAGATCAAAAATGCAGTGTTCTCAATTCCTAATAATAAGAGCCCGGGGCCTGATGGATACAATAGTGGCTTTTTCAAAAGGAACTGGCACATAGTAGGAGACCTGGTGAACAAGGCAGTCAATGAATTTTTCATGAATGGGGAATTTCCTAAGCAGGTAAATGCTACTAATATAGTACTTGTTCCTAAGGTGGAGGATCCACAATCACCCAGTGATTTTAGACCTATTGCTTGTTGTAATGTTATATACAAGACAATCTCTAAAATCCTTAGTAATAAACTCAAGAAGATACTTCCTACCATAGTAGACCTCAATCAAGGTGCATTTGTGGAAGGGAGATTAATGATACACAATGTCTTATTATGCCAAGAACTTGCTAAGGGTTATAATAGGAAGACCATCTCACCAAGATGCTTGATGAAGATTGACCTTAAAAAAGCTTATGATTCTATTAGCTGGAGGGCCATCACAGGCATTATGGAGGCATTGAGATTCCCTAGACAGTATATTGAGTGGGTTGATTACTGCATCTCCAGTACAGCTTTCTCCTTACTGCTAAATGGTGAAAGCTTTGGATATTTTAAAGGAGGCAAAGGTATAAGACAGGGGGATCCTAGATCCCCTCTTCTATTCACATTGGTCATGGAGTACCTGACTAGAACACTGAAGTATTATGCTGAGAAAAGCAAATTCCAGTACCATCCTATGTGTAAAGGGTTGAATATCATCAACTTGGCGTTTGTTGATGATCTCATTATAGCTTGCAAAGCTGATAGGGCATCTGTTAAAACAATCATTCAATGTCTAGCCCATTTTAAATCAGTAACTGGCCTGGAAGTAAACTATTCTAAATCTCAGATGGTTATGGGAGGTGTGAATGACCATGAGGCTGAGGAATTATTGAAGGAAGCTAAAATGAGCAGAGGAAAGCTCCCATTTAAATATCTTGGGGGACCTATTACAGCAAGCAGAATATCAGAGAGGGATTGTGAAGCTCTGGTCCAGAAACTAACAACACAAATAACAGTTTGGGCATCTAAACACCTATCTTATGCGGCTGATTAATTCAGTACTGATGGGGGTTATTTCCTTCTGGTGCAAACTTTTCATTATACCTACAATGGTAATGAAAAAAATTCAGAGTATATGTAGAAATTTCCTTTGGAGCTCAAAAGCAGACTATGAAAAAGTCCCATTAGTAGCCTGGGAAGATGTTTGTAAACCTAAGAAGGAAGGAGGACTGGGGATCAAGAACTTGGTGAACTGGAATAAAGCATGTGGCCAGGGACTCCTATGGGACATAACACAAAAGAAAGACATTCTCTGGGTCAAATGGATCCATAACAAATATCTTAAAAGAAATTCAATATGGGACATCTCACCCAAATCTGGAATGTGTTTCTACCTGAGGAAAATTTTACTCAATAGAGATAGTTTTGCTGGGATGAACAGCCTAGAGAGTTATGAAGTTCAGAAAGGGTATGATTGGTTACAGGGTGAAGGCACAGAGTTCCAAGCATATCCCATAGTCTGGAATAAACTGACTATGCCTAAACACCAATTTCTGATGTGGCTTGCTTGGAGAAATAGAATCAGCACTAAGGTCAGGCTGAAGAGATTCATGGAGATAGACACTGTTATGCCACAAGGGGGATGAAGATAAAGAACACATGTTTTATAAATGTGATTATACTAAAGAAATAATGGATGACATTGGCCACTGGTTAAAGTTTAGATGGAAGGCTGCCAGTGATGGGGAACTGCAAGAAGAATTCAAAAGAGTTAAAGGGAGGAGAAGGAGACAGACTATTATGGCTGGATTTGCTGCCATCTTTTATGCAGTTTGGAGAGCACGAAATCTCAAGATCCATCAACAAAGAAGTGTTGCTGCTGGGGAAAGCAAGGAATGGATCAAAACTCATCTGAAATCCTTTATTAATTTTAAGCTCAGGAGAATGTATTTGTGTTAGATTTTGTATGTTTTGGTGGTTTTATTCTCAACTTGTTGATGTACTGATGAAGTGTGTTTGAGGTGAATAAAGTTGTGCTTTTGTTCAAAAAAAAAAAATAATTCTTCTCAAATCTTGAAGCAGATACAAATAACTGACCACTTGAAAAAGATCACAAGTAAAAGACGAAAATAACTAACCACTTCAAATCCTGATAGTCACTTGGTATACAATTAAATGATCACTTGAAATATGATAGAACCCAAGAGTGACAGAGAAAACAATTGAAGGGTAGTCTTTATGAAATTATGAAATCAAGATCTAAATTCATAAAATAATACAGATGAAGGGAAATCTTTATCAGAATATGAGCAAGAATCTTAAACTCATATACATAATAAAGCCAAGGAGAATCTCCAATAATAAATATTGAATTACTTTCTGGATAACATCTACAAATAATGAACCTCAATATTTATAGAAGCAAAATAACTACAAATCCCTAGAATTTAGGCCCCCTACTCTTGTGGGATTTAACTGGGTTGTTGTTGTTGTACCACATTACATAGTAACTATTCCTAGACTTTAGGCTCACTGACACATCACTTAGCAACTACTCCTAGAATTTAGGCCTCTTACACATTATTTACTACTTAGTAACTAACATATGTATATAATAAAACATTTCACCTGATAAACAAATGACCCTAACTGACTGCATTATAGTCTATAGATATTACGGAGTAATAACATAACAGGATTAACAGCATATGTGGCACTCTATCGAAAAAGATAGGAATAAAATTAAATTTGAAGACAGCTCTATGCATTTAAGTCATGATAAATTTGGGTTGATCACAAACAAGAAAATTTGGTCTTTTGTTTTATTTTCCCTTTAACTGCTTATCCTTATGTTCTCTCATCTAAGAGTATCCTGATCTAGAAGCTGAGAAGGAGCTTCTCTTTGTGAGAGAAATCGGCAGCAGTTGCCATCCCCTTTGCTTCATTCAATTATTAGGTTAATGTAGGTACATTACCACATGGAATATGGACATCCACCATAAGAAAAACACCTTAAGAGGTAGTGAGGTGGATTCTTATAACATACAAATAAGCCTACACTCAGACAACGTGATTGAGGATAGCCAATTAGACGCATCTTTAGGTCCTTACTACTAATTACAACAAGTATCTGCATTCAGCACAAACAAAAAAGGCAGAGAAAAAACCCTTGCTCTCTTGACTCTTCCTTGAGACTAGTCCAACTACCTTAACCAACTATTGATTCACAATACTGTATCCAATTTCTCAATGCTGTATACAAGTAGCAAAGATCAAAAGTCAATCTTCTACGAGTTATCAATTTAAAAATTCATCAGAAATTTGATTTTTGCCCAAATATTGAGTTCTTTAGGTCAATTCATGTTCAATATTTGCCAGGGTATTCAGAATAAACCTTTAAAAATTCAGAATAACTCAATTCAGTTCTTTAAAAATAAATCTCTACCGAATTATGTACAAACCATAGAAAACGAAACAAGCAGTGCCTTTTATGATTCTCTGTAACTACTTAGCAATTTCCAAACTAATTTTCACTGTTCAATTACTATACCTAAAACCATGAAGCTGAAAGTATCAATGGTACAATTGCAAAATCACAGAGAAGGAAAGAAAGAGGAACTGACATTGTTCAGGACCAGGGCCACCGTCGGAGACAAGAGAATCGAAGGGAGCAGACAAACGAGCATTGCGTTTGGCCTCAGCAGCCTCTTCGCGGAAGCCGCGGCCCTTTGTTTTCTTTGGTGCAGAGGAGTCGCCAATAGTGGACTTGATCCTGGGAATTGGACCCCTGGGGGAAGCATCAGCATCTTCGTCCATCAGATCGTCGTCCTCGGGCTCAAAGTCCAGCGCCTCTACCTCTACGTTAGCCATTGCTATGCTGTGATTCCAAGCAACAAGTATATATAATGTCTATTTCGATTTATGAGTAATATACACGCAAATCCTGCAAAAACAAATCATTATAAATTTAAGAATAAAAATGCTTGTATCCCACTTGTTTTACCTCAATTGTACCCGAAAGATTTGCACGACACTTTAAACTTACACTGGCACAAAATGTCAGTGCAAAATTTTTGATTGCACTTAGTGTGAGCCATTAAAGTACCAGTGCAAATCTTTGGGCTACAATAAATGTGGTACACCTAGCATGTTTTGTGTCCAAACATTATGCTACTTACTTTCTGAGATGAAAAATTGAAATAGCATTTCAAAAAATAAAACCCCTAACATCCAAAAACACAACTATACAGAAATTCTAAGACTCGAGTGGTACAACATTCTAAAAGCCATAAACATGAGATTAATTCTAAAGCATCCGAACACGAAATAAAAATGCTGACCACCAATGCAGCAGATGAATAATTTCAAGTCAACATTAATAAGACAACACGTTCTGAAAGCCATTATATCAAAGTTAAAGCGTCCATACAGTGAAAATGCAGAGTACTGAGAAAACAGATGAAGAATCTCTACTCAATGATTCTCAGAAGAAGACACGGTAGAACAAGTTACTTGAGCCGCTGGTGCCGCGCGTCGCGAACCTTACCTGATCGAATCGGAAAAGCAAGCAAATCGGGTTCAGTCGACAATCTAAACGATGAAGAAGCGCGCGAATCTAGAAACGCACGAATTTATTATCTAGCAGATGGATACATAGAGCATATACACATACGATTAGGTGTTAGAGGTGAAGATGAATTACAGAGGGCTACGGAGAGGGTGAGCTCCCCCCGGTCGAGACGAAGTAGAGGAGATGGGAAGGGCAGTAGCGAGCAGCGAGTAGGGTTTGTGTTGGGGAAAAAAGGAGTTTGGTCCTAGATAACATAATTATTATTAGGCACCGTTTGGTACAAGGAATTCAAACTATGGAATTGGAATTGAGGACTTCAATTCCAATTCAAGTGTTTGGTATCATAAAAATTATATAGATTTGAAATTGGTAGTGCAAAAAATGAATTGGAATTGATGGATTCAATCCAATGGAATTTCAATTCCAATCTAATTCCAATTCCATCAATTCTGTATACCAAACGGACCCTTAAAAAAAATTTAGGAAGCACTTAGGCCCCATTCCGTTCAACTTATTTTTTCTGCTTTTTTCTTAATCTTATTAAAATCAGATCAGATCAGAACCAATCAGATCAGATCAGAACCAATCAGATCAGATCTGATCTAATCAGATCAGATCAGATCTAATCAGATCAGATCAGATCCAATCAGATCAGACCAGACCAGATCAGATTCAAATAAGAATTATTATTATTATTATTATTATTATTATTATTATTATTATTACTACTACTACTACTACTACTATTATCATTATCAATATCTTTATTACTCCTTACTTTTTAAATTTCATATTTTTTAGTTGTTTCACTTGATACGGTTCTTTTAAAAAATAAATTTAATTCTATTTAAAAAATATAAGAAGAAAGAACATGAAACTTTTTGTGTGATTATAATTTATGTAGACTAAAATAAATGATATGAAGCACAATTGTTTTCTTAAAAATGAAAAATAATAAACTTTAGAAACAAGCTAAATAGAAACTCGAGAAACTAATCTTTAATTATTAATGAAAAATGTATTATTTCTTTGCTTAACATTGATAATATAAGGATGTGATCTTTTAATAAAAATATTAATGATTATTAATAACATTGATTATCTATATTAAATAACATTTTAGTGCATATATAAATTAAATAATTATTCTAATGTTTATATAAACTAATTATTAAAATATTAAATCAATATTATTCATTAAAAAA